TTTTTAAATATATTTTTTTTTAAAGTAAAAGCGCTAGATTGAAATGTAAATTTTGCCGCACCAGTAACAACTACGTTACATGTTACATCGCAAACTCGTGTGTCGCAGGGCAATAATGCCGGTGACTTCGTTTCCGGGTAATGTCATCGGGACACGCGTAATATACCTTGACGCCCCCCTTTTCCCCCCTCGCGAAAAATCCACTTTTGAACCCGATCTAGCGTTCAGGGACGCGCGGCCGACTAAAAAAAAATTCGATACCTCCTCCGTTGTACCGCTCGCAAGGTACACAGTACTTGCACATGCATGTGTAAAATACCAAATAGACGTATAGGTATAATATATTGAACGCACACATCGCAACGTTATTTTTTCTTTCTCTCGATTGGGATTTTCATTATTCCCAGCAATGCTTTTGTCTGCCGTCGAAGTGAAAAAAAAAAAAAAAAAAAAAAAAACTGTTTTCCTAATACCTGGACCAAATGGTGTGGGACCACTTGTTACTTTTCCTATGATACTCCTGCTGGAATTCCCATCTGACCTAATGTCTTCAAAAACATTTGTGGTATCTTTCAAGACATACTTTCTAAAGTTAAGGTACTGTTCTTTCTGTTGCTGAACTTTTGAATGCACTCCTTGCAATTTGCCAGCAACTGCTACCAGTGACTCGTGCAACTTATTCATTGCCATCGTTAATTCTATAGATAAAAAAAAGTAATTATAGATAATAGTTTTACAAAATTTATGTAAAACAAGTCAAGAATTAAGTTTGTACCTTGAGGTGTCAAAGTTTTGGGAGTCATCATAGTCTGTATGTGTTTTTCGGTCGACTCAATCTGTTGCTTGAATAACATTAAATCGTTTTCAAATTGTTCAGCAAGCTCCATAAAAAACAAAAGAGGGGCATTATTTTCGTACTGAAGCCCGGGGGGTGTATCATGTGTTCTCTGAGCGATTTCAGCATTATGCAGCGCATTGGCCGTGTCACATTTAAGTCTGTCAGTGAGTGATCTGTCTCGCTGCACTGAACCAGCCAATGTTGTCAGAATTTCCATGAGCGAGGCTGTGTCTTCAGCACATCTGTTAAGAGGCCGTACGGAACCTCGCGCTATGTCTGAACTGAGGCTTTTTTGCGTTTTCACAAATTCTCTAAAAACATGGAATTTATTTTTTAAAACTAATTAGTTGTCTTATAAAGCCATATATATGCCGGTTTGTAAAATACTTACTTAAAACTATCTATTGTTTGCATCAGCTCGTTGGGTAATAAATTTTCTTTGGCTGATGTGGACTGTACATTACCCTGTGTAAGACCTTTGTTTGTAACTGATACATCTAATCCCCCAAGTCCACGATTTGTTGTTGTAGTTGGGGCAGTAGTAACAGCTGGTGCTGTTGTTGCTGGTTTTGCTCCAAAAAGTGTACTTGTATTAAACAACGATGCTATGGAAGTCAAAAATAATAAATACAGTTATGATGGTGATGGTTCTGAAATTAAATGCAACACCAAAGTATACGAAAATTCTTACAAGCAGTTGATGATGTTGGAGTGGCTCCAAAACTCAGACCTGTACCAGCTGTAGAAGTTGCACCAAAATTTAACCCTGTATTAGCAGCAAGAGTAGTACCAAAACCTAAGCCGGAAGTCGTAGGTGCAACTGCAGCAGTGCTTGTTGTTGTTCCAAAGGACAGACCACTAGTAGTTGGAGCTGCTCCGAAAGCTATACCACCCCCAGTCCCAGCAGCTGTTCCAGATGTGCCTAAACCAAAGGACAAGCCTCCTGAGGTAGCTGTTGGGGGGTTGAAAGATAGACCAGTTGTCTGTGTAGTTGTAACAGTTGGAGTTCCAAAGGTCAAACCAGTGGGCTTAGCAGCTGCTGTCGGAGTGCCAAATGTCAGCCCAGTTGTTTGCTGTATAGGCTGAGCTAACTGCTGAGCTAGCTGAGACTGCTGAGGTTGATTTGTAGTAGCTCCAAACAAGCCAGTATTTAGGGTTGGCTGTGTGGCTGCAGGCTGAACTGTTGCTGTGTTACCAAAACTAAAGTTTAAACCTGGGGTGGCTGTAGGCTGAGCCATAGATGGTGCAGCTGCAGAACCAGTGGCACCAAAAGTGCTTGTCGCGCCAAAAGCTCCAGCTTGTCTGGAAACATCAAACATCAAAAATCAAGTTCCCTAATCATATACATTACAGAGACTTATTGTTGCTACGAGATAAAGTAAAAAGCACGAAAAAAAATTTTCTCATTTATACAAAAACCAAACATACTGAATCCAGTTCAAAATAAGTCAATAACTGTATTATCGATGGTATAAACTTTATAGGTTAGAATTACAACACAAGACGTAAACTCACTGTTGTACTGGAAAAGAAAAGCTCGTGGACGTCGCAGAGGTGGTTGGGGCACCGAAAGTAAACTTGGACATTCTATTCTCTGATACTTGAATCACTTAATTATATTCCTGTTTACTTGAATATCCGTTTTCCAAACATAATTAAATGGCACTTGGTCTTCAGTTACTAAATCCAAGTCATTTCTAATCTGATCTTGAATGATGATAATTTTACCTTTTCTTTATCAGGCGTAAAAACACATACGCAAAGCGATTACTTAAAATTTTAATATTCTGAATCCCGAGAAGCCAAACTTAAATTAATTAGTTAGATATTTACTTTGGACCGAAGACTCACTTTAGATTTTGGACTCATTTGGAGTTTGGAGATGTGTTTAGACTAGGCTAGTAAGCTTCGCCCTAGTACGGACTACGGCAGCCGTAATAGATCGCATTTCTAGGTCCTGGGGGGGGAGGTCGATATCGATAAATAACTCGTAAACTCGTTAACTCATGAAACTCGACATGAGGTGATTGACGTGATACCATCACACTTTTTCGATACATTGCGATGTATCGCATACCCCGATTGAACCCCAACACAGGTGGCGTACTGTAGCCATGAAAAAAATGTGTAAATGCGACCGACTGACCGAGTCCGATTTCTAGTTTAATTACCATTTATCAACAAGAGGTGAAGGGGTTGCAAATTTTGTGTTCATTGTGGGTTGAACGCGTCACAGTATAACTCGAACGGGATTCACCACAATGATTACTTTAATTTTATTTTCGTTTAATTAAAATTCCACTTGCTTTATTGATTCAACTGACGCCATATTGGCGCCATTACCGAAGACGAGAAAGAAAAAAATAACAGTCAGCCATATTGTAATTTCCAAAACGCTCATTGGTGGAAATTCAACGTGGCCATGGCCGCTCGATCGTTAGTTCTAGCTCTCTGATTGGCTGATGAAATCAAGATATGCAAAATGGCTGCGCATGAGCTCACCCTTTCAAAGTCATATTCTGCGCAATGCCGATCTGAGTGATTGTAAATTTTGTTGTTTTAAAAAAAATGATGGGCTACTTATCGACTTACTTATTCTACATTGATTTTTTGTGTTCATATGTACACAAATAATCATGCGCCTGATACACTTGCTATACAAAAATAAGTATTTCGACATATCTGTAATATATGATATTGATTATCGGCCAAGCAGGTTTTCAGAAAATTTTTTGCATGGTTTCCGAGCTGGCGCGCCGCGCGCATCGCGCACCTCAAGTGTCAAAAAATGTATGCATTGCATCGTGCTCCAGTGCTCCTTCGACTCCGATTTCGAGGGTTAGAGTATATACTTACTTCGAGGCCGTCGCGAGCTCCAAAACACATCGATACTGGTATTATTGTCTACAAAGTTATCCTGCAACATATTATCTTGTACATCTTGCACTTGAGCGCAGTACGATACTAAGTAGTTCTAACCTTTTACGGACGCACGAGGAGGACTGCAAGTATGTAGTTGGATTATTTAGATAGGTCCAATGTATACCTATACATCCACGCGTAGTATATATATCACTTTGCTCTTTGTCTGCAAGTGAATCAACGTAGCGCGGCGTTTATACCTATCAGCAAAGTATTTTATTAAAAAGTTCTTGGGGCTAAGCTTATATATGCCAGGAATTGCCCATTGCCAATATCGAATTCGCCGAAAGCGAAGCTGTTACAAGTAAGCAAAAACATTTATTGTCATCCCTTTTTTTCGATGTGTACGACCTTTATCCCTTCAAGTCTATATCGCTATAAGCTCACGTCCAAGGACGGTCACACACAGCACGGCATTTTAACGAGCTTCCTTATTTAACTCGTGTCTTGCCCCCCCCTTTCTGTTTGCCCTTACAGTGCATGCATTGCACTTGAAATGGGTATATACGGCACTCGGCATGAAAGTTATTCTTTTTCGCAAACACAAGTTATATATACACGACGCCTGTGTACATGTATGTATGTGTATATATATATAGATTGTAAAAGGATTGAAAAGCATATATATAACTCCGCAAGAGAGGGAGGGTGCGTGCGCGCAAATAAGTAAGGGCACAGAGAAAAACAAAAGCCTCCGCTCTCCATAAAGATTTATAGGTAGACCTACCTACGTTTTATACAGTAAGAGAATACACCCCACAAATGCTGTAAAGCTGCATCTGGCATTCGTTTTTTTCTCTGTCCATGAGGTCCGCTCATTCTTTCGGGGCTTTTTTTATTTTCATCAACTTTCAAGCGAATAAATGAGACACTCACAAAATGAAGGCAAGTTTTTACTGCACGTTTACCGTATTAGCATGTTAATTTCTCCGTTGCCTACACTACTATCTACTTATTGATTGATAACGCCTCCCATGAATCGAATCGAGCAAGTGACAAATTCGGAAAGAACGTGTGCGTGCGTAAGTGTGATGTATATAGATATATGTGTGTGTGTTTTTGTTGTTATTCTCTCGTTGAACATATATGTTGCCCACGAACCTATTTGACTTCGCGATTGGCTGGTTTCGTATTATCAATTATTGTCTGGCATGCTGCATAAAGTGATTATGTGGGATATGGGATTAACAAATATTCATACATTACAAGGTCACCAATACTTACTCTCACCTGTTTTTGCACGTGAAAGAGATCAGATCTAAAATATAAGCAATAGACTCCGATTAATCTACAGCTGGAGATTACGCCTAGTCTAGGCAGTGTATTGCTCAGCTGTTATTGAGTTGCGAGATATTGCTACAGAGTACATCATAATACCCGGAAAGTAATTGATTTTTGTTTCGAAAATAATTACGCGTTGACATTGTTACGAAAATACTGTGCTATTTTTTCCGTGACCTCCAATTTTTTTTTTTTTTTTTTTTTTTTTCCCTATCCATCCGCCATCCAGTGGCTTCAATCAATACTTTAGGTGTCAGTGCTCTAAGTTTTATTAATACTTCAGGTGCCTGTTTGTGGTTTTTTGTTCTAAAGAAATGTCAAAAAGCGAAATAACAATAGCATATTTATTCGACGTTTTTGAAGTTTTTAAGTTTTGCAAATTAGGAAATTCTTTAAGATATTTTAAAATCACATTTCGATGTTTGCTTAGTCATGATCAACTAACCAATTTATTTACATTTCCTTTTTATTTCAGAACTACTATCAATGGTAAACTTATCATTAGAAACCATGGATGATTATGGAATGATAGAGCCAACAGATGTTGGTACAGTATCAGTAGACTATGATTCAAAAGATGATTTGAAACGAAAAAATAATCGCTGGGATCATGAGGAAACAGTGTGTTTGTTAAATTTGATTAAGGAAAACAATTTCATCAACAGATACTCGGTTATCAAGATGTCGACCCTGTTGTGCCAAATGATGCAAACAAGAGGCTACAATAGGACTGACAAGCAAATACAGATGAAGTTGACAACTTTGAGAAAAAACTATTTGACATTTACAAGGCAAAAAGTCAATAGTAACAACATAAAAGAGTGTCCATTTTACAAAGAATTATGTGAAATCTACAAAAACGCTGATGATACAAACGGTTATGATTCCGATGAATACGAAAACGATGATGAATGCTTAATAAAGTTTCCTGATGATCCAGTAGAATGGACAAAAGCAGAAGTTCAGAAAATGTTGAACCAAATCAAGTACATGAAACTTAAAAATGAACTGACACTCACATTTTTCTCCCCAGTGGCTGTGAAGATGATTGCAGAGGCCATGCAAAAGTTTGGCTATGATAGAAGTGTTAACTCAGTAAAAAACGCATTGCTTAAGTTAAGGACTATGTATATAGATTATAAGATGGGTTGTGAAAATAATGAAAACCCTCAGGAATGTATATTTTATTCGTGTCTTGATATGTATTGGGGTAAGGAGTTCAAAAAGTGTCTTTTAAGAGAAAAGAGAAGAGTAAAGGCTGAAGAGCCCTGGAGTACTGAAGAAACTATTGTATTGCTAACTTGCATTCGGGACTTAAATATAGTTGAAGAAGCTTACAAAAATACGGAGAAATCTGCTGAAGATGTGAGATTAGCCATAGAAAAGCAAGGATTTAACAGAACAAAGCAGCAGATAATGCAAAGATTAATACAACTGAAAAAAGACTTTGTTAGTGTTCATACATCATGTTCTGAGGCTGGTGCATTGCAAAAATTTCCATTTTATATTTTGTACAAAAAATTATTTGAAAGACATATTACTGAAGAAATCATACGTAGTAACACAAAAAATGTACCATTGGTTTCTTCAAAAGATTCTAGTAAGTATGTCAACGTTGAGACAATTTCTTGTAATCACAGTACACGTATATAAGTATTATTATTATTTTTTTTATTATTCTTCATTATTTATCGTGTATTAATCTGGTTTAAAAACAATAATACCTTTTTAGATGACCAGTGGAAAAATGAGGAAGTGAGTCTTCTTCTGAAAACCGTTCAAGAAATAACATCGAAGTCACAGATGAACGACAGTTTAGAAGATGAGAAATTGCAGAAGTTGGTAAAGGTGTTGAGTCAAGCGGGTCATCAGAAGACTGCTGATCAAATAAAGCGTAAATTGGCTCTGCTCAAAAACTCGTACCTCAAGTGTAATCAAGACAATAGTTCTGAAAAAGATATCGTCAACTGTCCATTTTATAATGAGCTGCACAATATTTTTCATACACCCGTTTCTGATCAAAGGTATGAACTTATACAAAATTTATTAGCAGAAAATTTGGATCTAAGTTCATCAACGAAATTCCCCGATCATAGTTACACGAACGTTAAGTTTGAGAATGGCTGTTTGGGAACAGGAGAAAATAAAGTCAATGACAAAGTCACTGTAGTGCCCAACAAATGCATTAATGCTTGGTTTCCAGTAGAAAGTATAATTGGTGAGTTGCTGGATATTTAATATAACTTTTTTTCCCCAATATGTTATTAATTGTCTAGTTCAATCATGACATTCAATTTTTTAAATATTTTAAAATACATGACTTGATATTTCTTACGAACTTTTTTGAAATATAATGTTATAGATGATGATGGAACGTGCCATTCAGCATCCCACAAACCAACAAATATTGGGGCCATCTCCAACACGGAGCAGAAACAGGAGGAAACAATTTCAGCAACTCTTTCAGATAATGGTGATAGCAAAGAGGAAAATCGCACGATTGCAGAGGACCCTTCTTTTTCATTTTTCCCTCAGACTCTAAACGTCATAGACCTCGAGGACCACATACCATCCTGTATAATAGATAATGTTGCTCTGCATCAGGAAGTCGAGACGACTACTGAAGAGAACGACTTGGATTGTTCAAAAGTTATCACTGCGGAAAAGTCAGAGGGTCAAATTTCTCTGGATTTGTCAACGTATGCATTTTATTTTTCTCGTCTAAATTTTATTCAGATGTTATTACAAAAAATTATTTACTTAACAGGTCCTTCACATTATCTTCACCTGCAGATGAAGATGGGCAGCCCCTATCGAAGAAACCACGCATTCTTGAGGAAGAAAAAATTGGGAAGACAAACAAAATTGTTTTGCGACGAGTTGACGGTCCCCCTTCGTGTCTAAACATCTCCAAGTCAACCAGTAAATTTGTGCGACTGATCGTCGCTCATGACAGTCCAAACAGCAAGTCCAATCTTGTAGACCATATTACAGCTCACATTAAACCCTTGAGCCTAAACACTACAGCTGCGACATTAAATTCAACTGTGAATTCTCAACCAAATTCGCCTGTAGACAGGCTGGAAACCGTTAAACTGAATAATGAGAAACTACTCAAAGAATATGTTATGGCACAAGAGCGGCAGAGTGGTGAAACTTTGAGTAAACTTGTGGTCACACAAGAACCTATAACTAATGGTCCAAGTGATTACCTATTAAATGGTAGTAGCAGCACTGGCGATAACTCCAAAGATAAGATTTCTGAATCTATAACGTAAGCAGATTACTGTTATTTATTTAAAGAGGAAATTGTATATTTTACCTATTTGTGTACTAAATCTAACTATATATTTATTTATTTTACTGATCGCAGAGAGGCTGTGCAATCGATGATGAAGCACGACGAAGTAATGCAGGACAGGCATCATTCGTGGATGGAACAGCAGTTTGAAATTCAGCGTAAGCACGAGGAAGAACAAAATAAAATCATGGTCAAGGAGCTCCAAGAACTAAGAAAGTGTATTGGATATTTAATTGCAAGTAAAATGCCACATGCCAATAATCAGCATCGATAATTAAGGCTTTTCCACAAGTCAATAAGAAAAAATGATCTTTTTTTTTTCTATTTTCTACATCATGGATTGCTAAGCTTTAAAAAACACATGTACAAATATGAAAAAAGAAAACTCGTCGAACTTGTAAATACGAAGTTTAAGTTAATATTTAAATTTAAAGTCTTTGAAGTTTACAGAGTAATAATACTTCGCGCGATTTCTACGGATTTTTACTATGTAAAGTTATGTTCTGTTAAAAAAAAAATATGTATTGAAAAATAGTTGGAATTTCCATCTTTTTGCAAATAAAAGATTCTAGTTCTTGGATATTTCTCAGTAAACAAAGAATGATAGAACAGTTTATTCTATTTTTCTGTTTTTACGTAAAATTAAGCAAAGACAAATTTGATTAAAAAAAAAAAAGTAGTCTCTCAGACGATCTTCTCCATAAATGAACTTCAATGTTCAAATCTTTATTTTCCGAAAAAAATAATTGTAAGAGAGAAATAAGTTTTATACTATAGATTGCTAGAAACAACTTTAGACTGAAATACAACTACAACGCAACTTTCAAACGAGCTGAAAGCTACAAATTTTTTTCTACTGTCGCTGTATCTTGCAAAAGCAACAATAACTCAAAACTAAAATACAATTTTATAAAAAATAAAAATACTTTGTTTCAATACTTTATTTCCATCACATCGTTACTTCCCTTGTAATAATAAGCTATTGAGCTACGAAATATTGTACAACCAAAAGATTAAAATAAAACAAATATCATTCACTCGTCTTCAATAATTTGTATGACAACACAACATTTACAACAAACAGTCAAACGAAATTGAATTGAATGATTTTTATTGGCTTTAACTTAAGTTACATAGCCATTTCAATTGAAATGGAAGGTTTATGTCGATATTTATTACATTTGTAATTACGTGTTCGGTTAAGGACTTACATAAAAAAGTAAAAACTGTGTAAGTATTAATCTTAGTAACAAACAGGTATATATCTGTAAATATATATTCACTGATTCCAACAAGCTCGAAGCTCGACTCATTATACTTTTGACACATCTTTCTAAATCTATAGTGATAAGATCAGCGGCAGGGATTTCAACATTGAGGGGAGGCCCAGTATCCGCTGCTAATTTGGCTAATTTATCAACTTTTTAGTCAAACGAAATTTTGTTAAACAACCATTTGGCAATGGTAGTGACATCTATTACCTGCAGCTTCGCTAACGACGCTAACGCTAAAATTGACCTATATTATATTGTACTTGTGGAGATAGATTTTTGGGTATAAGATACATTGTAAGCTTGCCGCAAATAGCACAGACAACGTCAACTTTTTGTTTTATCTCTGTAAGATTAAAAACAATGTCAAATTTTTATTTTATATTCGTAAAATTAGTTGCGGCTGGTTTATAATTGATTAAACGGCTCTAGGGCCTAAACTGCCTGAAGCAGTGAAGTGGAGTGAAGCTCTCCTTCAAAATTTTAGGAGCCACTTTTCGCTCAAAAATGAAGACCGCTAGATGGCGTTGATCCGAATAATTATTGCTACTTACTGTAGAGCCACTTAATCAATTATAAACCAGCCGCAACTAATTTTAACGATATAAAATACAAAGATAACGTTGATTGTGCTATTTGCGGCAAGTTTATCTTTTACTCGAAAATCGACCTCCTATCTGTCTATTCTTTTGAAAGTCAATTTTTTTGTCAAAGATAAACTGTAAACTTGCCGCAAATAACACAAAAAATGTAACCTTTTTATTTTATGTCTNTATATATATGCATACATATTTTGAACAAATCTCTTTTCCACGTAACGATGTAACAATTACAAGCTGTAAATGAAATAGAAACCGTCTGCTTTTCAACTAGTTTGTGTGCGCGCTTTCGTGCACTCATACTTATTTTTTGTTTTGTGACCGGGCTTCCCGTACGGGATTCTGCTTTAATTGCGCTATTAATGTAAATAGACAATAACTTATTCTAAGCTGCGACCAAGAAATTTTTATACTCAAATAAGTTTTTATTGGTAATTTTTAAGTTAAGAAATACACTATTTGATATTTATTTTTATACGTAATGCCATTTATGTAACTAGGTAGGATTTGTGAATCGATGTAATTTACTCCAGTAGTATACTGGCATATGTAAGAAAATACAAAGCCAATAAACTAACTTAAACTTAAAAACCGTAGTTCTGCTATCTGTTTACTGCAACTACTGTGGTGCTCGGGGCTTGGGCTAAGTCAGTTGGTCAGTGTTAAGTTTCGATTTGATTCTTGATAACATTAGAAATAAATAAAACGTCATGTTATTGGGTGGGTCAAGTAAAACATTCGGTCTTTTTATCTCTTGTTTGTCTGATACGGTCAACCAAGTGCCTTGAAAGTTGTTTGACAAATGCTTACCATCTCATGGAGACCTAATCAAAGTAATTATACACTTGATTTGTTCACTTTTGAGTAGATCATTGCTTTCTCGCAAGTATAATTTAATCATACAATGCAATAATTCGAGGTTTTTTTACCTTTTGCAATGTATCCTTGTAGGTTAAGTGCAGTAATTCTTTGTAAACAACAACAATACATCGAAACAATAATTGTTTATGTATTTGATTATGATTGCAGAATATCGCGAGTTAGTGATAAACAAAAAATGATCTATCGCTCCCGTCGATTTTTGAGCCAGGCCCTAAGCAACGCAAACGTCAGACAGCTTCGAGCAGTACAACAACAACTAGCCAGCCGTCGACATATCAGCACTTTTACTCGTCAGAGGCTTGTAAACGCGTTAATCAGCTCTGCGAAATTTCATCAGCACAAATATGTCGACACGAGGTGGCTGTGCACAACGACTTCCAAACTCGATGCAAAGAGTAAGGCGGAAAAAGGAGATGCTGCGAAGCTGCAGGTGAAGGCTGAACAGCAGCAGACACAACAGGAAAACAATGTCATGCAGAGGATTGTTAAGTTGGACGAGGATAACCTGGGTAAGCTAAAAGAACGAGTGCTCAATGTAGAGGGTACGTCTGATTCTACAGTCGTCCCTCCTGCTGTTAAGGCCACTGTCAAGATTCTGACTGAGATCATCAAAGAGGAGAAAAAAAAACTGGACCTAAAGGATAAAATCAAGGGAGACGAAAAAAAGTTAGCGGAAGACGTAGCTACAGGATCAGTTGCTAAAAAACGTAATTTTTTACATATTCCCTTTCCTTTGTTAAGTTTAGAGTAAGTCTTATTTGTGATTCAAAAACATTATTTTTCAATACAGCGCCTCCTTCCGTAAAGAAAAAAATTAGAGTAGACCTGTCAGTTTCTTCGTTGGAAAGGAATTTTATAACACCGATTAGAGCAATGTCTGATTTTTTACTTAAACAATCGGATTTGGAATCGCTGCCCAAAACTAAAAGAAGATCACCATACGAATTCGAACCACCGATCACTGTGTACTGGAGAAAAGATGTTGAAGCCAAGTGAGTGACTTTGTTGCAATTATGTGTTAACATATTTTTGTCAAAGAGTAGGATTGTATATAAAGGATATAGGCATATATCCTTTTAGTAAGAGCATATTATTTTAGAGCTCTGGAAGTCTGGGGCTCCAAAGAAGCTGTGTTGAAAGAGTTGCTGAAAAAGGAGCTTGAGAGGCGGACTTATCAACAAAGTGAGCATCTGTTTTCTTGTAGGGAATTGCTTAAAATATACAATCTATGATAATTTGTGCTATTTCAGATGTATTTACTGTAAAAAAGAGATTAAGGGACTACAGAAGAGAAGTCGGTAGTCAAAATCAAATGTTTGAAAAAGAGGGGCTCTTGGGTAGATCTGGTAAAGTAGTTATGACAGCTGTTGTTATGTAAGTTTATGTATTTTATAATACAACTATTTTTATTGACGTTCATTAGCTAAAATTTCGTTTTACTTACAGAAACGGGGGTAATTTTATTTTTAAGCTTCTTGCGTGGATTTACACTGGCTCTCATAGTATGTTTTCAGAATGTATACATTCAGCTGCAGACACATGCAATCAGTTGATTTTAGCATATGGTATTCACAAGTCTGTTCAGGTGAGACTTGGCAATTAGTTAAGTAATAGACGAGAAAAAAAAAAGCGTAAACTATGTATGTTGTATATTTTTCAAGACTCCAGATCCCGACCATCCCTACGGTTACTCAAACATGAAGTACGTTTCTTCATTAATTTCTGGTGTCGGAATATTTTGCGTCGGAACTGGTCTGTCTGTTTACCACGGAATCAACGGAATTTTATTTCCAAACCCAGTAGAATCGTTTTACTGGGCATACATTATACTAGCTGGCTCACTAGTTTCGGAAGGAGCAACTTTACTAGTTGCGATTAATTCAATTAAAAAAGGAGCGATCGAAAAGCGAAAAAGTTTTCGAGAGTACGTAATGACGGGTCACGATCCATCAGTCAACGTTGTCTTGATGGAAGACTTTGCAGCTGTAAGTTTCAGATATTTCTTTAAATTTAATCTCAATTATCGTAGAAAATTCATTGATATTTTACAATATCCGTAGGTCCTTGGAGTACTGTGTGCCGGTACGTGCATGGGATTGACGTCGTATTTAGGAAATCCTATATTTGATGCAATCGGTTCCCTACTAGTTGGTGGACTCCTTGGTGGCGTAGCCTCATTTATTATTTACACAAACGTTGCTGCTTTAGTTGGTCAGAGCATACCTCAAGAGAATCTCGATAAAATGAACTCTGAACTGGAGTCTGATGTTATGGTAAAAAAAGTTTTGCAACACTTGTATGCATCAAGAGATACATGCATAGGTTTATGTAATCATACGTGCATAACTTTTGGCAGGTAAGAGCCATCCATGATGTAAAAGGTATAGATATGGGCAACAGCCTTGTAAGATATAAAGCTGAACTAGATTTTGATGGTCGAGAGTTGACTAGATGCTACTTGGATAAACACGATCTGAATGCAATGCTTGAAGTAAGATTTATTGGTGAAAATAAATTTTATGAACAACTACATGTGTCAATGATGTTATCCTTCGATTTTTAGGAGGTTCAAAAAATGCAGAACATAGATGAACTTGAGTCGTTTTTACTTAAACATGGGGAGAATATTGTTGACATGCTTGGCGGAGAAATCGATCGTATCGAGTTAAAATTGAAGGTGAGAATATTATTTTGTTCTTATTACTTTATTTGGAATAACGTACAATTATGAAACAACATAATACTGATTAATTTCATTCATAATTTTTTTCTTTCTTACAGAAAAAGTTCCCTGAAATTCGACATTGTGATTTAGAAATTCTATAAAAAGCTCTTAGCACAGGTTAAGATAACAAGGTGTAAATATTATAATTATTCTATTGTTATTATCTCAACTATTATATGTATTCGCGAGGATGTAAAATTTTTTTTGTCTAGAAAAACGCAGGGCGATCGTAATATTTTATTACGTGATTGCTTTAATAAAGCTGAGCAAACCAGTAAATAATATACGTATTACGTATACACATTTTAATGTTTCGATTACATCTTTATAAAATATTTGCTTTTTGCAAAAATAAACAATAAATCATTTATTATGATAAAAGGGCATTATATATATACACACACACATATATATATATATATTNATACGGCTTACTTTTTTTTTTTTAACAAACAAAAAAAAAAATACATCGACATCAGGGTGACCGTGTATACTGTGAATAAAAATTCGCACGGCGCGCGATGATTCACCGTTTACGTGTCGCTCGGCGCTGTAATGGAATTATATATTTGAGTGGGGGGAGCGGGAAAAAAAAAAGGAAAAAAAATGCAATAACCCGCGTTTGTGCACCCAAGTCGCGGGCGCAAGGTCCCAGGAGAACGCGGTCAAAACCCTACCCTCGGCGCTTTTTGAGTGCTACGACGACGAGACCCACAAGGGGTGGAACCAGCTGCCCCACAACATCAAAATCCTCATCGAGATAATCCGCAAGATCGAGGACCACTCGGCCCAGCACGTGAATCTCCTGGACATGCGCTACCTGTCCACGGCCATCCTACATCGGTAAGGAAGAAAAAAAAAATCAACCCTGGCATATATATGTGTCTCCAGTAGTCTTATCGATCGACGGCCTCTCTCTAGTCGCCCCAGTTTCCGATACGCATTTACCAATGTCCACTTGTAGTTGAAAAATTAACTCGCAACGTTGTCGGGCGATATCCCTAGATTCCGCCAGGACGGCATCGTGAGGAATCCGCACGTCAAAGCGCGCGAGGGTATACTCCCTTACGCGCCGCTCGGCAAGCAGTTTTTCCGTCACGCGCAGACGCTGAGGGTTATACCGGGAAACGCCTTCAACTTCCCCAACGACAGCCTCACCCCCATTGAGAGGGTAAGTTTCGAGATGGTTTTCAAATATCTCGTGGATGTTTTCCCATTAATATTGACGATTATCGTCATTGCACAGTGTACACTCCACTCGATGTTGAGCAGCAGCATCGATATTTTTGAGCGCGGCGACGAGAGCCGCACGTGCCGGTTCGCCAACTATGCTTTCCGCAGATTCGGCAGGAGCACCGACGAACGCAATGTCAAGGAAGACGTCGAAACCCTCACCGCCGAGCAAATGTGAAATCGGGCTTTCTGTTGTTGTTGTTTTTTTCCTGTTTTCCCCATACCGATTTAACGTATTTTTACCTTCAGAGACCTAATGACCGGTAAGAGCGGCAGAGACGTGGTGGACCCGAACTCCCTGTACCCTGCCTATCCCAGGAACCATCCGAGCAGCGAACGCCTCGTCAACACTCCACCGCTCAGCAAGTGCCCCATCGAGAACGGCGTCGTTCAAACACCGTAAATACATACGATTATACTACGTATTGACGATCCATCACGAGTAATAACATTAAAAAAAAAACCCCCGATGCGTCACCCACGGCTACGACAAAACCAACACCTACGCGTCGTATTATATATATAAATGTATATCGTAAAATAGGTACAGCGTGTATTTGCGTAGACGATAAAAAAAGAAACGCAATGTGCACACAGGTGGGGCACAGTTTCCGGTGGCTCCGTCATTGCCGGTATAGCCACGGGCCTCGAGCCCATGATGACGAGGATAGACGACCTGATGAAGCAACAGGTCGAGCCGCGCGTGTCCGACTACGCGAGCGACGTAGTCATCGACAACAAGTTCCTCGCCACGCTCTCCGGTACAACCCACGAGTTTTTCCATCCTCGATTTTGCCCCTCGTGATATAAAGGCCGATTTAATTTTGTGTGTAAACCAAAAACAGGTGATCTGGCCGAGGTGGCGCTCAAGCAGGGGCCTCAGATACAGGGCAACCGCTACGTTGTCGGGGTCGAGGGCAACTGGAACTCGACGACCAAGCCGTTGTTCTACTTCTTGAACTCCAACGAGAACCTGGAGATGACGGGGGCCGAGATCCGTGGTGACATTGACGGCCTCATACTCGCCAATCGAGTGCTCCAATACTACGAGAAGTCGCGCAATCTCAGGCTGTCCCAGGTCCTGGACATGTATTACGGCGAGCGCGGCTTCTTCGACAGAAACGTGCGGGCTTGCAAGCGACGCGAGCACTTTGTGACCGTCGCCCCCACTGACACCCTCAAATCTCAAGTGAGCCCAACTCTCTGCACTGCGTTTTGCTAAATAAGTACCTCTTGTGTTGGTTAAACAATTTTTTTTCTCTCTCTCTCTCTCTCTTTACCTTCAGACGCTGAGCGCGGTGATTCTTCTGAATCCTGACATCGGCACCGCGACCTTTTCTTACGAGACAGTCGAGCGCTTTGTCAAGCAGGCCGTCGATGATCTTGGCACCCACATACGTAAGTTGAAGGAAAAAAAATCTCTCCTTGACCATCAGATTGAGAGTATATCTTCCCAATGTACTCGTAGCGACGATGAATCGTGACGAAAGCTGCGACTCCCGGTCCGATTCGTCGTCAATGTCCAATCTGATCAGCGAGACGGCGGCCAATCTGACGATCGTTATCGACACGACCTGGCCATTTGACTCGGTCAACAAAATCCTGTCGCAGCTCCTACTGTCGGGCCAACTCGACGTCAATAAGTACAACAGCCAGTACACCCTCGTCAACGCGGCCACCGGCTCTGTCATGTTCAACTCGAGCCACACCCCCCTTACCACCCAAAACTTTAACCAAACGTTCTACAACAGCCGTTAGTCTTACTATTTCTTTTTTTTTTTTTCTTTTCTTTTCTTAGAAAGGTATTATTGGCCCTTATTCGCAATTTTAGTCGCTCCCTTTCGATTTTTTTTTTTTTGTTTGTTTGAACCTCTGCTGGGTAATGAAAAACACTTCCTTTCGCCTGACAATTTCTTGTGGTTGGATAAATCGATGGTTCGAAAATAACACAACCTACGATATATCGTTTAATATATTCATACGTATTGTATACAGCTACAAATATAAGTCACAGGCCAACATTTTCGTAGTACACCACAGCACAATCATTGTCGTATTATTTTTTTTTGGCTAATTTTTTTTATAGTTTAATCATTTTTTCTTTTTTTTTTACTCATGTCTGGTAAGTTTTTTACATTTTAATTACGGTATCAAGTTTAAATAATAATACAAATATGTAATATTAAAATTGACCAGATATATTTCTATTGACTAGGCACACTTAGTTCATAACAAGAATGAGACTGTCTTTTTCTCCCCTCACTATGTTTTTTTTTTTTTTTTTTTTTTTTTCATTCACGTACAATTTTTTTCATATTTTGTGTACGTACTTACACTCAAAAATATCTCACACTCACGCTTTTTTTGCCTCAACCGCATACTTGAAATTGTTTTTCATTTCTTTTTTACTGTTGCATTGCAATTTTTTTTTTGCAGTAACATCAGTTGTAATTTTAAAAACAAGTGCAATTATAGTTTATTTAATGTTTACGGTTTATACTTGCAATAGTTGTTAGTTATACAAAACACGCAAGTAAATGTACCCATCGTGACGAGTACGTATCTTACGAGTTGCTAAAACATCTTGAGAACGCTTTCACAAACACACATTGTTTATCGCATTTATTAATTAATTTTAATCACAATTATAGTAAATATTTCTTTTTTTCTTATCCTCTTACAATGTTATATGGAAAAATAGAAACTTTTGACAGTAAAAAACCAAACAAACGTGAATCAACGATTAAGAGCTGCAGTTGGTCTTTTGATTTCGTTGTTTTCCACTTTTATTACTTTTTTTTGCTTCCATTTATACTTTTTTTCTGCTTCAAAACTCTCGAGTTTCAGTCGACAATATTTCTATCAATTTTTATCTTTTTTTTTTTTTTTTTTTTTCACCATTTTCAATGGAAAAAAAAATGAAATAAAAAGTAACCGATCGATACATCGGTATTCCATATTCAGCACACGATTGGAAAACGAAAACATCGCGCTCTGACAATTCACCTGCAACCCTCAACGTCTCTTTAACTTTTACAGTAAATATAAATATATCGTTTAATGTTGATACATTTTTTCTTCACCTATTTTTTATCCACATATGCTTTAAACTTAACTTTCCCTATTTTTAAAACGCAAAGTGTAATTCGTCAACTATAGTGCACGTGATTGCTATGATTTTATTCACTCAAAAACATTTCAAAGTGTGTTAGTCACTTAAATTTTTTTTATTGTTTTTGCTTTATTTTCTTAAGTTTTTGACGAACTTTTTTTTTGAAAAATGTGTACAAGAGTAACCTTTTTTTGTATTATTCTCAACGGAGTGATTCAAACAGACAATTTTTCCATACTAGCATTTTATTTCTGTTTTGTTTTTTTTACATATAGGTTGGTGCAAAACGTCGCACTTTGCCGGTTCGCGTTTTCAATGAAGATTTTGACAATTTATTTGAAAAAAGACATGATTAATGTGAGTTGCACTAATTATTTTCTCGAACATTTACATCAATAAAACACAACATGTCGAGTTTGCCCGTCTATTTGCAAAAAACTTTACTTTCCTCTTATAAGTACGGCGCTTGGTCAATGAGAGACTATAATTAAACGTACAAATGTAATAGAAAAATATAATCGGTAGAAGAATATAGAGATAGAATAGAGTTAGAGCTAATTAATTTTACTTTTTAATTATTTTAATGTACATCGCATTATTGAAATACTCAACACGACTCGTCATTTTTTGCATCTTTGATCGGCCCAAAAGTACTAGGGTTATTTTTTCCGAGCAAAAGTTTCTCAAGTTCCTTTCGTTACGTAATTATTCGACGTAAGTCAGCCTGATTAACGAATGTGATTACGTAGGTTTTAAAAGTTTTCTTTTTCTTTTTTTTTTTACAAAAATGTCCATCTTTGTGTGTTAGTGTATTTTGCAAATAATATTTTTTAACGTGTTGTATTTATTATCACATCCTCATGAAAAATATATAACATTTTTAGTATTCTATTAGATAATGATCATATTTTTATGCCCCATTTTCCTACAAACAATCATCTAAAAAGTACGAAATTTTTTTTTTCGTGCATACACAATGTATTATTTTTCTTTCATCCACATACTGTTGTTGAATAAATACCACTTAGAGTCATTTATGAGAATATGGCCTCAGTCCCCGAATAACTGTAAAACTAGTGAATTATCGTTTTATGTTCCGTGGTAAATCAATAACAGTTTTTTTTTTTTTTTTTTTGTATTGTACGTTACCTTAATCTCTCTGTTTTTGTCTACTCTTATTACTTATCTCTTCATTAAAAAAGATTATATCAGAATAATATTGTAATAGTTTGTTCTTTTCTTTCCTTGTTTTCTCTTTCATTATTATCATTATCATTATTATTATTATTTTTTTTTTTTTTTTAATTAAATTGGAACACGAGCCAACCTGCTGCAGAGGACAACAATGTCGAGATCAGTGCACGAATTACGCAACGATAACAATACTACGATGGGTGTACACGTGGATGGGGGACTCTATACAAAAATGGATTTAATTAGCATTACCCTACCATTATTGTTATAAATATGTTTATTATTATTTAATTTTATTAATATTAATTATTATTATTATCATTATGGTTTTAAAGGTAACGTTTACGAATGTGTAAGAAGTGTACAATATAAGAACGACGTGCTTGACGAATGAAATAATGTAAAATATGCGAGAGAGTGACTGTTTTTAACATCGCGGAAAATTTTTTTCCACACAACTACTTGAGTAACATCTTAAGAAACTGGTAATATTGAATCGTAATAGTGTAATGTAAATGTACACATGCGCTCATGCGAAAGATCGAAAAAAGTCTTCTGAGTTTAGCCTATCTCCCATCGAGTTAGGCATAAGTATTGTGTGCAACGAAGAGAAAAAGGCACTCGACTCTTACGAAACTAACGAGCCAGGCCTTTTTTCTTTACTTTTCATTTTATTTAAAAATTGTACGCCTTTGTACGGGCACTTGTATAAGAGAGTTGTAAATCGCATGAAGGCGTTGCGAAGAAACAGTCAGTCTTAGAGGGTGGAATTAAGGAGCTTTCGAAAATCGTGGAGCACAGTTTTTTTTAATTTTTAAATATTGTATTGACAAAGATGTAGTCGTCATGTTGCATGAACGTGTCTCTCTTTCATTTTCGGTACTTTGATCCTAACAGATCTGCACAAAAAAAGTAAAAGTAACATGCATTTAAAATGTATTTTAAACTTTTCAATATAGTTTATTTTTCATTGATTAAAACATATCATATATTACTATGAGTGAAAAATTGAAATTAAGAAAAAAGTTGTTAAATTAGAAAAAATAATTATAGCCAGAATATTATAAGTAATAGTTTTTTAATTTAAAAATATTTACAAGTTTTTTTTTATGAGTTTAACGATGAAAATATTTTGATCTCAAGCTTCGCTGGCATAACTGAAACAATAGAGTATTATAAAAACGTCATATGGAAGATATTCTTACCCCTATTTATCATTTTCTTATCATTTTGAATAAAAATATAACGTTTAAGTTTATAAAAAGTTAGAAATTTTTTATCTGACATAATTTTTACACTTCAAACTTAACAATTTTATTAATCGGTCTGATAAATTATTTTGATACAAACGTCTATTATCTATTGTTTTTATTTTATTTTTTCTTGATTACTTGTAGTACCAAAATTAAAATTTTGTGCACCTTTTACAATTTTACGTAACAGCTTTGAGCATAGTGTAGTTCGAATCTTTTGAGTATTTTATTTGCACTTAAAAGAAAAAAAAAATTTTTATGAAAAATAGAAAGCATTTGCCATCATCACATTAATGTTTTGAGTTTTAACAATCAAAGGTGTATAATTTATGTCTTTACGTAAGGAATGTTACAGAAATGAAATTTCTAGAATATTGGTTGCACGTTGGATTGAATCAATCTTTATCAAAGTGAAATTTTTATCGAAACAGACGTATTTTAAATTCATATACTTATTAGTCTCGATCAAAAATTCGGAAAAAATATCGCGCTGATAAAAAAATCGAATTTTATGATTTTTAAATAAGAGCATCTACTTTAATTAAGTATTTTATTAATTAAAAATAAATTTATTTATATTTAATTTAGTACCTAATATAAATATCAAACTAAGAAAATTGATGGATCTCTATTTAGATACGTATTATATTTCTCAAAACATATACGTACTTGAAAAATAAATTGAGAAAACAAATATTACGTAATTTGTTTGGCACAAATAAATTTGCTTGGCTACAGATTAAGGGCCTCATACGTAATAATTCGTTGATATCTTGGCAAAAAATCTCGATTTTACATACATGAATGCGGTTGTGCTACTAATCTATTTACAGATTACGCGCCATTATAGCAAGCATTAAAAATATAACGATAAATGTGCACACAAAAATGGGGCTACATGTAGTATTATGGTATAGTAGTATCGAGCTTCCCTTGTATTTTTTCAAACATTTTCAACGCCCCTTTAAATTTTAGCAATAAATGCAAATGAATTGTAGGTATTATTATTATCATTACTGTTATTATTATGTATAAATGGAGGAGCAAGAATGAGGGTACAATGTGTTTATTATTATTATTATTTTTTTTCAAATCGCTTAGTATTTGTTTGCTACTTCTACGACCACTATTGCTAAGCTACACACGTTCGTCCGCGGTACGCCTACGACGACCACCTACGTACTATCTGACGATAATGA